TCAATAAGTAGAAACCAACTTCGTGCAGATACAGCTCTTCTAGCAGGACACGATATCCTGCAAAAAAACACGAAATCAAAATGGGGCTGTACTATGGAGCGCTTAGCTGAACATGCGGTAAAGGAAAAGAATCAGCCCTACTATGTGAGTGCGAGGCGCTGAATCACAAAATTATATCCGAAGGAGCTTAGAACCGAATCGGCAAGAAAACTGTACCGACTGGTACAGAACACTAGACTGCTGATTGGGTACTGTAAATTCGAGGAGCAAGGCACAATAATCTCTAGAGGCTGCAGTGCTATCGGGGTCTTTGGCCGGACGCATCCCGGAAGTGGGAAAAGTGGCCAACGATGACATTATCAACGAAAAATATGAAAATGATTCAGTCCGGATACTGGTAGAACAGCAATCGTTGTGGCTATAGAGGTTGCAAATCGATATGCGGATGGTGGTAACCTAACTCATAAATCGCATTTTTTGGGCTAAGTCCAATGGTCCACGATTACATTATAATCATCAAAAATACAAAAATGGACAATAAACACTATGGTAGAAAAGCAATCGCGGATAGCTGTGGCTGAAGAGCTTTCAGATAGGTATGGCGTATGATGATGGTCCCATTCCAAAATCCGAGTTCTTAGCCAAAATCCTATGGTCCACAAACACATTATAATAATCAAAAATACAAAAAATGATCCACTTCAAATACTGGACTATAAACAAAATCAATCAAAACAATTTACAGGTAGTTTTCTTAAGATACCTGATTCTGATGAATTAAAGGTAAAATTTGATCAGGCAATCGCTTCTCAGCATGCTACTTCTTCTGATGGTAAAGATTTATTAGCAGATTATAAAAGACTACTTACTGAGATAGCAGATGCAAGATTTGATTACTAATGAAGCAAGATTACAAGCCATTTCAAGTAGGGGCAGGTGGTCGTGTTGCTATGGTAATTTAAGGTATTGGTTCTTCGCCTCATGCTACTAAAGAATATACTCCTATAGCGCTGATCCAGATACTAGTTAATGTACACTCTGGTAGAAAAGCAAACGCGGAAATCTATATCTGCAGAGCTTTCACATCGAAATAGTGCATTTTTGCAAATCAACCAAAATTTATTTATCTCACATACTTAATATTACAAGGTTATTTAATTTTTCGAAAAACTCACAATAAATCATCTCGAGATCGTGCGCGAGCCTCCTATGGTCGTAAGGCAGCTACCACCCCGATAGCATGAAATATTTAATTTTTAAACAATGTTTGCTAAATATTTGTAGAGACAGATTTTAATATTTAATAAATATTTTTTTTATATTCATAAAATATTCATTTTACATATTTGTGGTATATATACGAGCCCCTTCCCACTTCAGTTGGCCCAACTATTGAAATCTTAGTTTTTTTCTTATCAAACACAAATAATAAAAATGCATCAGGGTGTTATAGGTTTAAAATATTAACAATGAATATTTTTATAATATATAGTAGAAAACACCAACTTTATCACTCCCTAATCAAATTTGCAGCATAAAAATAACACATGTTGCAATTACAGCATATCAACCTATTTTCATTTCAATGCAAAATAAGTCTATAACGCACAGGTGGCTGTGAAAATAAAAGCCATGACAATTATTTTTATTAATCACAGCTGTCAGAATACGTTTAAAATAGTTTTGGAGTAGCTAAGGTTTTCAAAATGGGTAGAAGAAAGGTTATTAGTGAGAAAATTCGGTTACTGATAATTAAATTTTTTAATTCTGGGAAATCAAACTCAGAAATTGCAACGTTGTTAGACTTATCGCGGTACAGTGTGACAAATATTGTTAGAAGATATAACGTAACTGGTTCAGTTAATATTAAGCCAAGATATGTAAAAAAAAGTAATGTCACAAATGCCGACCGAAGAGCATTAAGAAGAATAATCGTGAAAAACAGACGTGCCAATTATTTACAATTAAGTGCTCTGTGGAGTGACGCTGTTGGAAGGAGAATTTCGAGTTCCACAACTCATAGGGCCCACAAACTGGGATTTAGCACTTGCAAGGTAAGTTTCCTTATAAAAAAAGTGAAGTAAAAACCCTAAAGTTGCAATATGTATTTTTTACGACTAGAGTGTATCTAAAATGTTTTTGAGAAAATAAATTGTTTTAGAAGTAAATAGTTTGGTTATAAAGGCATATTTTGGTACAAATCTTGAAGTGGGCCAACTGAATTGGGAAGGGGCTCGTATATATATATATATATATATATATATATATATACGTATATATATATATATATATATATAGGCTTTAGTAAACTCTTTTAATGGTAATCTCGAGCTTTCGGCACTCTGTATGGAGCCATCTTCAGGAGCTGAAAACACAATTATGACGCTAGCAACCAATATGGGAAGGATTTAAATTATCAGACAACTTACTCGTAGCTGAGGTTGTAACCAAAAGGTGTTTCAAAACGAACGGGTGGATGAGAGCACTTGTTACAAATATAAAACCAAACGGAGGGACACATCGGGTTTATTGATAACGACGGAAACCATCGTTAGGTGTTAACACTATATATCAATACTCCCGAATACATTAAAAATGACCGAAAAGCAATTTTGGGGGGAAAAACCGGCAAAGTCCCTTCTAACCTCCTACATCTGTTTCACGTGGAGAAAATGAGCGAACCGGAAGAGTGATGTGTCGACAGATGACAGGTGATTGTCGCGAAGGAATGTGGAAATGTAAACTTCATTGCCAAACTTCGGGTATAGTGTAAGATGGTGATACACGCTTGAAAAGATGGGTTGTATGTAAATACATTAAAATTTTTTATTACCGTGAGGGCAATGTTTCAAATAACAATAAATAATTATATATATAATATATTATATATTCCCACGATATTTTTTCCAATCATTTAGAAAATACCTATATGAAAAAAGATTTTGTATTTTGATGAGATATCTGATATTTTTTGTAAATATTTAGGAAATATATGAAGCAACATATTTTGAAGCATTTATCTGATCCTACATATTACCAGTGTATTCTTGAAAATGGTTCATTGGTTATTTTAGCAAAAATGTATGAATACTTTTCTGGGTTTGTAAAGAAAATCCATTCTAGATGTAGTAAAGGGTGTAATTTTCTAGAAAAATATAATTAAACATATTCTAGACCTCTTCTACATCTTGCAAATCCATTTCCCTGAAAAAAAAACTTATTATGAAGTATTATTGGATACATATGCTGCTTTCTAGTGGTTTTTTGTTTGAGAGTGATATTCTCCTGAATTGCTCTAAACAGTGTATGTATGGGAATATAAAGTGCAGTGGAGCAATATGGGTACTAAGCACTGAGTTGCTTCGAGTTACTCAAGTTGGTGACTAAAAAGCAGCATTATAATGTATCTAAAATGACTCGGCATATACTTCTCATGAGAGTTCGAGATTTGGTAGTTTTTCTGAAAATTTGAGACGGTTTAGATATCTTGATGAAAAGTGTCCATGGACACAATTTGATTCTTAGACTAGCTTTCAAAAAAAAGTTTTTTAAGATGGACCACTTATTGATTTTGCTGAAATGTCACATTTTCACAGTAGTATGGTGCTAATTTAGCCATAACTATTTTGGGATGTTATATTATAATTCAAGAGCCAAAAAATATAGTATTTTCTATATCTAAAATTAAATCCACCAATCCCAAAGTCCTACAAGAAGTATGCTGGTCCTTTTATATTTTGTCGGAAATAAGTCTATCACACTTCAAGACCTTGTAAATACCTTCTATACTTAAGTGGCACAATAATTCTTACTAGTCAGATAAATTAAACCAAGTAATAACGTAAAACTTACCTTTTTCCACAAAGAAACACTCAAATAATGTACCACTTGGAGGTACATACGATGCACGCCATCACAGTCAAACACACAGGCAAAGTGGAAGCCGGCAAGTGTGTCGGCTCAGGTCGGCTTACCATTATGCCATTGGTCGCTCCGGTTCACACGCACATGCGCCGTAGCCAAAAATATTTAATGAATATTTTCTAAATAATGAGATTTTAATATTTTCCTTTGATTTAAAAGTAAACATTTGATAAATATTACAGAAGAAATATTGGATTTAAAATAAATCAAACATATTGATTAAATTGTACGAGTGTTATAATCCAAATATTTATCCAGTATTTGCTTAAGATAACAAATATTCAAATAAGATAAAAATATCATTATACATTTAATATTTTGTGCTATCGGGGCATTTGAACTGCCCTGCCCGCAGAGCTTTATAAAGCCTCCTTTATGGGTGGATGGAGATGCTAAGGTGAGAGAAATTCCACCTGCAGTCCTTGTGGAGGATTGCAAGACATTGTCTTGATCTCTCCTTGATACCCTGGTTGCTGAAGGGCTGAGTGGACAGGTAGGTCTGCGATTGGTTGTTCCTGTAGCTTCACTAGCATTTTCTGTTGCAACCTTGATATGGTAAGAATCCTTGCCGAGCAGTTTCCAAAGTTGTTTCGAGGAAAGACGACGCGAAAACCTCCCTGCAACCTTATAGACTTTCTTCAAGCAGACCTTGAGTAAATTCAAGCCTTATCCTGTATGATGATGGACCCACTACAAAATCGGATTTTTCAAGATAAATCCATTGGTCCTCGAACACATTATAATCACAAAGAATACAGAAATGATCCACTTCAGGTGCTGGACAATGGAAACTCTGGTAGAAAAGCCATCGCGGATAACTATGGCTGCCTCACTCCAAAAAGGATTTTTAGGTTAAATCCGATGGTCCACGGACACATGATAATCACAAAGAATACAAAAATGATCCACTTCAGATACTGGACAATGGACACTCTGGTGGAAAAGCAGAACTTTCAGAATGATTGGTGTAGAACTGTGATCTGTGCAAAATCGCATTTTTTAGGTTAAATCCAATGATAGACGTTCACATTGTAACCATATAAAATACAAAAATGATCCTCTTCAAATACTGGTCAATAAACACTCTGGTAGAAAAGCAATCGCGGATAGCTACGGCTGCAGAGCTTTCAGATCGATATGGTGTATGATGGTGGCCCCACTCCGAAATCGCGCTTAAAGCCGGCCACTGTCATCAAAGCACTTCTGTTTCGCGCGGTCCGCAGTATCACGGTGTGTTAGCAGGAAATCCGAATCGCAGCTGCAGGATTTAATTTGCTGTCCGGCCCGAATACGCGCGGTATCATTGTTATCTTTCAATTTGAACACTTGTGCAGTGCTTAAATTCTCGCGCGGTACATTGTTTAATAGCAAGGTAAGATGTTGTATCCTCGTTCATATGGAAGATTCTGAATTTCAATTTTTCCAGGGCCAAAGTTTGGAAATATATGTACTCGTATCTTTCAGTATCACTTCTTATGCGAATCTTACATATTTATCCTTATACGGATAGATGTTCTTGTTTTTTATTTACTTAGGGCTGAGCGTACTCGGTATAAGTATAAAGGCATATTCAGTTTGAAAATATCCCGTAATTTGAGCTTTTAGTGGAGAGTGAGATCTCATGCAATACATTGAAATATTGCTTCTGGTGGATTTTTTTTTCAATACATTCCTGTTGAATTCTATATTTACTGCTAAATACACAGTGCGTGTTCGCAGAAGTAAAAAAGATGATGATGATGATATTCATTAGCAATAAAAAGCTACAATAATCATGAAGAACTATACATAAGATCAATTAACACTATTACAATCACAACAATTTGAAAAAGCACAAACACGAAATAAAAAGAGCAACTGAAATCCTGAAAAGTCACTGTTGGAAAACTCATCAAACTTGTAGTTCATCAAGGTGTTGCATTCTCATATGGATACACCATTTTTGTGTTTCAAATTTCCCATGCTTTACCAATCAGGTATATTCTGTGCTAGCCATGCATCCACGTTGTTGTTGAGTGTTGTTATTAACATATGTGTGTAACACAAAAATGAATCTTGCTAAATTAAAAGAAATTATTTATCTGCGCGCTGAAGTGATCAAAAGTATAAAAAACGGTATAAAATATATTTTCGATTTTTTTATTGATTTTACTCCAAAGTAAAACTTACTGATTTTTTTCAGAAAAAAATTGCAAGTGTTAAAAATTGGCTGTAGGGGTGGGGGGTAGTGTACGACAATTTTTTTGGTGCTAGCAATTATACGTTGCCAGGTGCTGGTAATTCTACGCACCTATTAGACTTATTTCATACACCATATGTTTCCCCGTACATTTGCCCTTAAAACTTGAACGATGGAGATGAACCTTCAATATGCGCGAATCCGACAACTCAACGAAAGTACGTTTATCTGCTTCGATTGCGGGGGGATAACAGATAAACTGATTCAATTAGCGTGCTGCGTTGCTTGGTTGCTGAGTAATCGGTACTGTTGGTAGAGCGCTAGGCTAGATCGCAATGCTGTCAAATCTGTGGAGACTATGAGCCTGTTTGACTGTGATGATCTTGTGATCAATGTGATATATGAGATTTTATTCTAATTGAACCTAAGCCGTATCGAGATCACCCATGCATAGCATCCTTAAGTTGGACACCCTCTATATGTACAAAGTCCATTGCGTAGGAAGTGTGGAGTCAACCTACTTGATGCCATTTTTTTAATCCCCGCCCCTTCAAAAATGCTTCATGAGTTTCAGAAGTTGTGCAAAGGAAGCCTGACGATCTTCAACCTGTTGGTAGGTGGAGATCGTCATATTTTCACCCACCTCCGCACAGTATTTCGGGTTTTGTTTGCTTTTGGTTCTTCTATCGCTCAGGACTACCAGACCTATAACGCACAGATGAGTTGCTAATGAGCACGAAACAGCACTGTCGGCGGTTGGTCGTGGTTACACAGACGGGAAACAAACGTGTCCATTTCAATCAATCTATTTGACTCATTTTTTAAGACCTGGCCCGGTACCGTTTACTCAATACAATTTTTTATCTACGGAATTCGGAATATTTTACACTTTGCAGATTTATTGTGCCTATTTTATGTTTACATCGTGAGATAAAACTAAGCTGATCGATTATTGATTTATTCAACATCAATCCATATACAGTGACATACTAGCGTTATCTGTCTCAATGTAAATTGCATGGATAGCGTTATCTGCAATTCCTACTAGTTGTCGTCCATATGTTATTCAATACCACACACGTTATATAAACTGATGATAATTGTTCATTTGTCTCATTTCATGTGCATCTCAAAAGGACTTAAAATGGACGGTTTGTATGCAATATATTTTGTAATTGCTTGTTTTGTTGCCTGTGCCACTATTGTAGCTGCATGAAATTATTTTGAAGAAAAGCTATGTGAAACACTATTACTGTCTAACTCATGTCTTCTTCCGCATATTGTATATATTACAGTATAATCGTTGACTTGTGTTGCGTTAGGGCCAGTTTATCCCTGACGGTCTAAGCAAGTTAAATGGCGGCTTTATTGCAGAAATATATGCGTCAAACAATGCAATTTTTATTGTGAATGCTTAAAAATGAAATTATTTTAATTAAAGGAGTTCAAAAAATTGTATTCCATTATACAAATGTTTGAAAATTTTGCTACACGTCTTAAGGACACTTAAAAAATTAGTTAAATTTTACAGTATCGTTGAGATTATTTAATACCAATTTCCAGTTGAGCCAACAATAAGGTTCCACAACCTAGCTTGGCGGGTGATATCTCTGATCGGACTTTTTGAAGGGTGCGTATGAAAGCGTGAAGCTTTGTAGAATTGCAGAGTCCTAGGTAAAATAGTTCGGCATGGGGATGTGCTCAGAGTTTGAACATCCAGACATCTAAAAAAACATCAAAAAATGGCTTTAAAGGCCAATTCGACCCGATTTAGAGGTCCGAAATTCAACTTAAAGAGGGCGATAGGGCGGTCCTTCTCATTTACAAAAGAAATTTTTGCCGGTTTTTTTGTTTTAAACAAGTACATATTTGAATTTTGTCAGTCCAATGAAAGAGTAAAGCATTTCGAAAATATGTTTGACTAAAATATCTTCCGAAGGGACCGTGAGTTCGCAATTTGAAGGTCATTTTCAGTTTATTTGACAAGCTTAATGAGGAAAGTTTTATGGGACCTAAAGCTTTCCAGATAACAGACGTAGCGAGGAAAATGGAAAAGTTATCAAAACGCTAAAATTCACTTTTTCCGAATTTTCAAACTTCGACCGAGCACCTTGGAATTTCTCAAAGCTTCCAGAAACAAAAATTAACCATGATCTGAGATATGACTCACCAGGCCAGGTCGTGGGATCTAAGAGGACAATTTTGCGTTCATTTTAAGAAGAAACTTTTATGAACGTATGTTCTGAAGATCTTGACTTCTGAGATATAGCGTGGAGAGTTTTCAATATAGAAAGTAGGTGGCATGCCAGTGAGTTTTCTCAAAATAAAAAACAGAAATCTGTATTCCTTCATGAACAAATTTGATTTTCTTACTTCGGTGCACGGCTTTACCTTAAATAATGAACCTTATACTCTTGTCAGCTCAGCTCGTTTCCAGCGAGACGAAGCCTACACCATGCTGATGAGTTACCAAATAGCACGAAACAGCTATGCAGACTGGCCATCTGTGTCCAACGAAAGGAGCTTTACTATTAAAATAAAAGCTTTTTCTCTGCATGGTTTTTATTTTTAAAAGCGAAAATCGTGCATCAGATTAAAACAAATCAAGCGTTCAAGTTGCTTAGAAATGGTATACCATCAATTTTTTCCAAAATAGACAGGTAACTTCCGTATGAACGCCATTGGTGGAAATTAAAAAAAATGTAGGGCATTAAAAATAACTCGTGATACATGTACTATGTGCCATATTTTATCACAATATCTCAAGTGGAATTCACAGGTCTTAATACTAAAGTAATTTATGTTGAAAACTTTTCGGCCGTAAAAGTTAAGACGTTTAGGACATACGTTTTATGAAGTTTTTTCTTAAAATGGGCTCAAGAATCACCCCCTTAAATATTGACACTCAATGCACCCCAGCACACTTGTATAGTACCCTGTATACTCAATCAGTTCAGCTCAAATCGGGAGCTTTATTATCTTTGAAGTAATCTTCATTGAGAACTCAATCCCGATCTATCCGCTCTGCAAGGATTTAATAGAATTTATATCGAATTTCAGCGAGGGAGGCTAATCAGTTTAAGGACTTTGGCAAGGAGATGATTGACTACGTAGCCAGTTATCTTGAGAATGTAAGAGAAAGGTGAGCTTACAAGACGACTTTATATAGATTAGAATTTAATAATATAAATGAAACTACAAAATATTATTTTTGCGAATAAAATGTAAAAAAATTGAAAGAAAATTGCTGCAATGTGTCATTTTGTCTGACTATGACCTCAATCAATAAACGGTTCTTAAAAGTAATTCGAAAATAAACGTACTCTAATCAACGAATCAACGTCAGTGACTTACTGATGTTTTTTCGAGCAGATATTTGAGGTGAAGCTCAACTATTATGATAGCTATGTCAGACGATCGGATGATTCCTCCACCTAAAGCGTTTTTCAATTATTTAAGCTCCAATGGATTCGAGGATTCACATTTTATATTATTTTTCCTGACTGAAACGCAGAAGTCTGAACAGGATTGTATCAGCATTTACATTCCAACAGGAACTGAACGTCCGGCCTAAAACATTTCACTCTCGTACGGATGACTACTGGTCTATAAAAATGTGTGAAAGCTTCAGGCTGTGGTTTTAGGCACTGTAATCTCACATCAATCGCAGAAGCCGTTTTGAGGCTTCACTTACTAAATCTGCTGCCTTCGACTGCCATTCTACGGTACAACGCTTAATTTATACAGTTTTCACTGAACAAGTCTGGGTCATCTACCCCCAGCGGTGCATCTAAGTTGAAGCACTATGCGTCGGGCCCCTCAAGCGGATCCATAAATTGGGCTAAATTTCGCTCTGACAAAGGGCCCCCCGAGCCGAATTGTAAGCGGTTCGCAACCGGGCGCATGCTTCTGAACTACCATACCCATACGGGCTTTGTGCGTCAGGCCCAGGGATCCAAGATCCGTCCTGAATACATGTTTCCAAAACGTTCAGGCCTACCGTTTATTTCCAATAAAATGAGGCAAATTGCTGTATTTGGAGAAGCTCCTGTCGCCACCGCTCTTAAAATATTCATTCTCTGGATTTATTATTATCCCTCTGCGTCAGAACTCAGAAGGCAAGTTGCTATCCCGCTATTCTTCAATTATGAACAGCATGTGCTCTATCCATAAAGATCAGAACCAGTTTTTCACGGGTCTATTGTCATGAATATTATTCTACCGTTTATTTTTTGCATCTACCACTTTTAAAATGTCGCGTCTACCCTTTCCAGCATTTTTGGTCTAGCAACACTGCTTTGACGTCAAAGATGATTTCGGGGAGAACATATAACAGGAGTGACGTCATCGTCCAAGTAGCTACACTTTCGCGAAAAAATTTGATATGTTAGCTCGAAGCGGCATTTAATTCATTAAATCGTTCTGTTTTAAATTCATTTGTATATCATTCTATAAGAAATGCTTTGAAATATCAGCAAAAGCAAAAATATCGCATCTTCCCAGTCATTAGTTTGCCCGCCTATGCATAAAAAATAAGAATTGTTGAAAACCGGATGTAATGTGGTGCAAGATAAAATATCTTAACATTATCCTATCACACCTTCTTTCTCTGTTATGATGTAAATTATAGCATTGTTTGCATTATAGTGAGTACTAATTGCCACAAGTATGCTTTTTGTACAGTAGAAGAAAATCGATAATATATCACTGAATGGGTCAAGGTTTCTTAAAATATACTAGACGACTTTACTATACGTATGCTGATCTTAATTTTCTGCCGACGAAGCGATTGATATAGCGATATAGACATCATAACATAAAAAGCCTAGTAACTCCACCCTAATTTATGCAAAACCTCAAAATCAAATGAATTGGCTATGCAAGACGGTTGTCAGATCAGAAGCCACATTATCAGATTGATAATGCTCCGACCAAAACAAATTTGGAGTCATTAGTTTCTTTCGGGAGCCTTTACACTTTACCTTCTTTACTAATAGAAATGAAGAAACACCCAATTCGAGACACCCAATTCGAGACACGATATTTTTGGATGCATTTTAACACATACTCGTACTTCACAAAAAAAACTGGTCAGTTGGTTATGACTAAATTTACCTCAGCATGGCATTATAGTGTTTTAAAATGCATCTAGTAGTAACTATGTTGGTTCCCATTTAATATTTTTGCAGATAAATGCAAATGTGAAAAAGAGTTTCATTATTGTTACTAGTGAATGTCGGGCGTCAACGTTAATCGAACTTATACCTCTATTTAAATGCTGTCTATTTTCATAGCAAAGACCTAAATAGACTGCCGAAATAGCACAAACTGTTTCAAATGAACTTCCATTACGATCGCCGCTTCCAGTTCCAAGAAAATACAAAAGCAACAATGACTTATGTTTTCCTTGGATACCATCATGTAAGATTCCGACTAATTACTAGGCTGTCAAAATTTCGTTACACTTTAGTAGTATAATTCAAAACTCATTAGAGAAGAATCGATTTAATAGCATCCTTTATGGGTCCGTATCTCCATTAGAAGAGCCCCGTAGAACATTTTTCATAGTAACTTGCGGCATATTTTTTGTGTTTTATGATACATAAGACGCTGAAATGTTATTCTGGGACACCCTGTAAAATCTACATGCCACTCGCTGCCTGTACACGCATTAAGCTTCCAACAAGCCATCGGGGGTTTTCTGCCTTCCTACTCATCCTTTTTCTGCAAAATGGTACTGAGCGCAAAATTACGAGTTAGGTTGGAATTTCCCACTGCGTCAGAGCCAAGTCTTCAAATTGCCTGACGTTACTTTTTAAGATCGTGCGTTTCACAGTCTGATTATTTTTCCAAGGAAACAGTATCCCGTAGAGTGGGATTATACAGGAAAGCTTCGCTCTTGGAACAACAGTCTTTCACGCAGAGATACTTGTCATCTTAATAAGCGGCATATTTAGAGGAGCTTCAACGGTACACCGAGAGGGGCATATTTATATGCTGCAACAGTCAAGCAGCCCTAAAGGCAATTGTATCTCCAAAGACAAGTTCCCCTTTAGTTCAGAAATGCACTAATGATCTTCGAAGCTAAGCCCTATACAAAGAATTGACCCTGCTTTGGGTCCCTGGACACAGTTGAGTAACGAGAGAGCTGATTATCCGGCAAGGCCTGCAACTAGGACCTCCAGCTTAGGTTGGGTATAAGTAAGAATCAGACGAACGCGGTACTGTAGAGTTGTGGCGTTCCGGTGGATCGTGTCAACGCCGCACTAAATGAATAGACGTATAGGGACCTAGGATACTAGAAAAAGTGTGTCGAGAAAGTTACATCTACAGGCAGGCCAAGAATTTAATAGGGGGCCCAACAAACGTTGGATGCGCTGGCATTGGAAAGAAGTAGAGAATCGCTCAATGTTTGGGTTTGCGTTCTGACCGGCTACTGTAGACTGAACAGATACTTATCACTTCTGCGCGCGAAAATATATTCAATTCACCCCATGTGCCAGAGTTCCACTTTCTAGGCTTTTCGCCTAAGGGATGAGATATTTGGAGCTTTGGAGCTCAATTGTGAAGTTGCATACTCATGCGGAGTGGTTGGACGTCCTGACCTTCACTGGAAAATCAGGAAGGTTTGGTAGATGAGTGAATAAACATGTGGGGTAGAGTATTGGTACTCTCGGTGTCGGCAAAAAGGCCACACGTGGCCTACTTTTCAAGCTTCGCTTCCCCACCACAACTACTATTAATTTTTTAAGTTGAATTTTGATTGCACTAATTCTAATTGTGTCACGTTTGTCTTTGTATAGAAAATCGGAGACAACACTTTCAATATACATATATCTCTGAATGGGTCAAGGTTTGCTAAGATATATCAAACGACTTTTACTACTGACCACAATCTTCCACAGGCGTGTGCGACTGTGTTACAGATATGTTTTATTAATTGGTTCTTACAAGAGAGTGAAAAAAATATGCTACAAGGCAGCCTTGATGTCTGAACTGGCGTTAAGTTACTGGTATCACTATCTTGTTTTTTCTTTCGATGGGTTGAAATATCTGCGGTAGATGTGAAACATAAAAATGCAAATCGAGCCAATCAACACCTTTTACTTTTCACAGAAAGCCTGAGGAAACTGATTTTTAATAGATTTTAGCGGAAACACTAGCAAAGTCTTTAGACCAGAATATCTAAAATCACCGAAAAAAATGTATAGACGTGTTTTATAACAGAATTATAATTTTTTTTTTAATAATGAAAAGGCGAGAAGGGCTTGCTTGGGTAACTTGCTTATTAAACGTCAAAGTTGACTAAACAAATCACTTTTCGCGTAAAAAACCTGCAGTCTGCTGTCCACTTTTTTTTACAAAAATATGTATAACAACAAAAGATCGGCTCTGAAAATGACTCAGATTTCAAATTTATTGCATCTGAAGTTTTTGAATCATAAAATATTTATTTTTATTTTGTTAACTCTTTTTTTTAATTTAGTACTTGATTGTTCTTTGTAAGAGTTTGTTTATAACAAGAGCGCATAGTCGAAACACCTAATTCGAATCTAGAATATATCACACAGATACAAAACACGCAAAAATATCTTGTGAAACTGGGCTTAAAATAAAAGTTGAATTCCCAATATTCATTTATTTAAACTTTTGTTTGTATTTGAGCGCAATGGCGCAACACTTTAAATTTTATGTATGTTTTGGACTTGATTTCGTGACTTTAAAAGGACAATCAAGGGCTAAACCTAAAAGAGAAATGTTGGTGAACGTTTAAAATATAGATGCTCTGAAATATTTAAACGCAAAAATTTCCTAGATAATCCTTTGAAAATAGCGAAATGTTAGTAACTTTTTTGAGGTCAGTGGTTTTTTCAGTAATCGCCACAGAAAATCGGACATATACAGTCTCATTTTAAAGGTCTTGTTGTCCCTTATGACCCTTTTATAGACCACATACTTCATCGGTTTTTTAAAAATGTAGTTATAATTTTGCAAAAGGTAGAAATGCGAAAGGGTTTCACGGCCATCAGCCAATATTATTTGGTTGGTTTTTGGGTTGTTAGGCCGTCGTGAAACATTATTACTTGTCGTTTCGCCAACCCGAGTGGTTGGCATCTTCAGAAGATGTCCACAGTTTGGAGTCATGTGAGCAACAGTAGCCTAACAGTCCAAAAACCTACCAAATAATATTTGAAAAAGGTTATACAGCATATTTTGTGACCTCAAGATTCCGATGCAAAATCCGTCTATACAATATCTTCTAAAACACGACAGAGTTTTGGGTAGCTGGCCTAATCTGTACGGTAGGTCGTTTGTTTTGATAGTTGAGTCTATTTTCTTTTTTGCGGGAAAAGTTTGGAGTAGGCCTAGATTAGCTTATTATATACATATCTGTATTTTTTACCAAATACAAATCAGTTTATAGAGGGACATGGGGGCCCATCAAGGGGGCCCCACCAATGGCTTTAGCTTGAGAAGGCTCAGGTACCTACATAAATAGAGACATGTTCATTTCGAAAAAATACAAACAATCCGACTGCAGCACCTCAACTGTTAAAATCCATTAAGCTGAATGAGCTTTAGCCCATAAAATAGAAACTTGTGTTGTAATTTTAGTATACTCAGTGTTACTCGCAACTTTCCAGACAAATCTAGAGACACCTCGTATATCATAATCCATCAAGCTGTTTAAGCTGTAGCCCGCAAATAAGAATTTCAAGGTTGAAATTTTCGATAAAAATCCGCCTTTTAGATTTGATGAAATATTAGTACTCGTATATAGGTACCCAATATCACTCGCATGGTCCAAAAAAGTGTACTAGCTAAGATGCAAAGTACTAGTTCTCGAGGATGCAGCTACACGCAAATGAAGTCAGGCCAGAAATAGCATGATTCTCTGCCAGTCAAGTTTTCGAAAATGTTTATTTTGATTTTATAAAACTTTAGTTTACCCAGTGTCACTTGAACCGTCAAGACAAATCAACCCAGAGATACCTCATATGTCAAAATTCATTCAGCCGTTTAACCTGTATCCCGTGAAATAGGAATTCAAGGTTGATTTTTTTCATAAATTAAACACTCAACTTTGGCACCCCCCCCCCCTCTTTGACTGGTTAAAAATTATCTATTATCTAAATATACAGCAAAAATAGTGTAACTAACAAAAAGGGTTTTCTCTTGGTACATGCTTTCAACGCTGTCACGTATTTTTAAAAATTTGCGTTTGAATGACAGTGATACTCGAAAAATCGCGAAACCTCATCTAGAAAGGATGAATCACTATTTCCTTGAAGCAATAAAAAATATTTAACAAATTTTAATATAATTGGATATACCAAAATGATCATCTACGTCATCAAACCAATTAAAAAATCATCATTTATGAAAATTAAAATGTAATCCTCACGTTAACCTATTTCAAGGTAGTGTCGAGATCATAATTTTCTTAAATCGAGATAGTCAATAGAGAGATCGTTCATCGGAATCTATAATATTAGGATGTATAAATTAGTGAAATTACCATGTATGTACTGCATATAACATTAGGGAGAATAGTGGTAATTTAAAATAAATGATTTGGGAAAATTTGGTGATGCTACATTTACTCCAACGCATATTCATTCGAAAATCTCAGTATAATTGTAAAGTAACTATTACTGTAATTGAAGTTCTAATTGGTTGATAATATGGTAGCTCAAATTATTGAAGTGTTACTCATATGGTCGAATCATAGTTAATTATCGTTATGCCTATAACTTAAGCCAATGTACATGTAATGAATGTTCGAAAAAATCTCATCATTCCAAAAATCTCGTTATTTCTTACTTTATACATAACAGATTCCTAAAAATGTCTATACACCGTACGCTCCAAAAGGTCGAAAAAGAAGATATTAAAAAATCCAATCTCACAAAATTTAAAATTTCCAAATTGAACAAATTATGGCTACGGTCCGCAACTCCATTATTACGCATGGTACTCGGATCTAAATAGTTAATTACAAGACAAGAATTATAGTCAACAGTATGCTCCTTACTTGGAAAATATTTTTATCTGTACAAAGTGATTCATAACTACGTGGTAACCCAAATTTGTTTTTTTAAGATGGAAAGTCCTACATTTTATTGCAGATTCGGATAGGTACTTGCAAACAAAGCAATTTGATATAAAATACTATAAATCTTTGAGCACTCGCACCTTCGCAACTGTTACAGCTAGAGTAATGAACTTTTCGTCAGAAGGATTATTGTTGTTTCAGTTTTTTTGATAGACTGCACAGGGTGGTCAAGAATGCAAAATGAACAATTTCTCAAAATTTTCAAATGGAATACCCTCTATATTTTTACACTTTTTGATTCCCCCTTTCATGTGCTTTTTTGTGATATAAGGTTGCAGCATACTTATTTTCTGAATCGAATTCTAAAAGTGTAAAGTCGATTCTGTTACCAATTTTGGAAACTTTTATAGATTAATGAAAATCTATTCTGATTATTCCTTGCAAATTCATATGCTTTCATTTCCAGACGAGTTCTTCCAACAGTGGAACCTGGATACTTGCGGCCTTTGATTCCAGAAAAAGCCCCAGATAAACCGGATAAATGGCAGAATGTTTTGGCAGATGTGGAGAAAGTCATCATGCCAGGTGTAAGTAGGTAACTTGATTACAAATCCTAATTCTTAAAATGTTTACATAATTACATTTTTAGCAGTAAAATCTCATCGACTGCCAATGTTTTTAATAGAAAAAAGCAAGGCGAAATGCTCATATAAATATGGTTCCTAAAATATTATCTTACAGAGACACAGGGAGTTGTTTATTTCTTCGTCACTTATTGAAGATTAATGAGTGTAATGCCAAACTACATTAACTTCAGCGCATTTGTTTTTCTAAGAAGTCAAGTAATAAATGAAAAGAAAAATTTAAATATTTGTAAGTAAAAATTTCATAGATGCGACAAGTTTAAAATTTGAGTTATGTGCAGGAACGAGATACGCCCTTACGGACACTGATTCTTTCTTATGTGTAAACTGAAATTCTTTTGAAAATGAATTACTCGAAAAAATCAGTTAAGGTCATATGCTCTTTGGTTCTCTATATGGGTTGAAACCTTCCAGTTCGTGATTTCGTGAGCACATCTTCCACCCTGTATATGTGTAACAGGACAATTCAGAACCTACAGCAGCTTTGAAATTTATTTTGCAACGTATTCGTATTTTTGGTACACCGTTCACCGTTTGAAGAAACTTCTAATATAACAGGAATCATGAAATAATTTTTGAATATTCATCTTATAGATGAAGTATATATTAAGATACTATCTTGATGCATTTATTGTTACAGGTAACACACTGGCATTCACCTAGATTTCACGCGTATTTCCCAACGGCCAATTCGTATCCAGCCATAGTCGCAGATATTCTGAGTGGTGCAATCGCGTGCATCGGTTTCACTTGGGTAAGACAATCTTATTTTATTTCTTTATTATTTAACATAAGTTATTTTCTTATTGTACCATGCAGGGTCAGTATAACAAATAAACAGATATTGTTTACTGGATAAACGTTTTATCATGCAACTTATTAAATTTAAGGTTCTTAAACTCTTCTGAATGACCTGACAGGAACAAAGTTCCATACAATGCTGATACAATAAAATAATTCGTCCAACTTAAGACTAATGTTGTCATCAAAATATCTGCTTATGTTACTTGGACTGCAGAAATTTTGTAGATCACATGTTGAAAACTGACGCTGTCCTACTGCACCATCTAGTGCCGCTCCACAGCTGCTGAGTTTATGGCTGCTAACTGCTCTCAATAAATTTATAGAACTGCAGAAATCTTTTATAATTGAAGATTTAAAATTATTTTAAATGTTAAGAGTTTCTGTAAAATCGACGCATGGCCTTATCAGGTGCTTGCTCTTATTTGCTACAGGTACCTTAACATTATATACATTATAAAGGTCTTTCATTGAGATGAAACGTTAAATACTTATTGAATTTATTCGTGAAACCGTCTGAAAAGGAATTTCAATGAATATTATATCGATATCAAATAAGTTGTCAATAACATTTATAATGGAATAAAATAAAAAGTAAACCGACCAAAATGACCTTTTTATGAGCCAGTTCCTTGTAAGGCCAAAATGCTAGGAACCCTACAAATATTTTAACTAATATAGAAATAAAGTAATAATAATGGTTTTCTTGAGTTTGAAGAAAATAATCATACATTTACTTGAAAACTTACTTTTTGCTATGAGCTCGTATTATAATGTTAACGTCGACGACCGAAATCAACAAAGTAAGGTACCGCATTTGCAAAATAACGAGGCGAGCAACTACCACTTTTTAATAAATAATCGGCCAACAAAGAGCATCGCCTTCCATGACCCAACCACATTACCTCAATAGTAGGAAACACTAACATTCCGAATTATACAGTGGTTTTAAAAAATACCATCATCTATTTTTTGTACCGGTCATGTTGGCAGGCTGAAATGCTGGCATCGTGAAATGCTGGCGCCACTTTGAAACAAGTGGAATGGGGACCCATGTGATAACCCATTTTGAAGGCCTTATTGGAGTTTTATAAACCTGGAGTATGGATGTGGTATCTTTAAAATCATGGGCTAGCAAAGTTCAGCATTTTTGTACATTAAATCGTTCATAACTAATCATGAAAATTAATCTATTTAATCGCATCGTTGTATCATGTTATATCAATCTTCTTATTTTGGAAGGGACTATTCGAATGTTCAAATAAATTTCGGACACTCGGATTAAAAAAATTATATATTTAGGGTACTGGCAAGAGAAGAAGAATCATATACAATGTGTTTGGTCACGACATACCGATATTTGAGGGGGATATTTTTCAGCTATTTTTATCGACAAATCCACCCCCTACAATGTCACACCTCACCCCCCTTGAAATGGATCCATACCGCTGCGAACGAAATTAGGGCTGACACGGATATGGTCTGCCGCTCAACACGAAACATTGTTTTAAGAACAACAATGTGCATAACCAATAATGGAGTACATTTTGAACAGCTTCTGTAACATTAAACATGTCCAAACTCTCTATAAGAAACATTGATATGTAATTTTTATGTATAAAAGGTTTGAAAACAATTTGCATTTTATTACACTCATTTTGACCCAGGTTAGATAGCATTTATTGCTTAACGTAGAATACTTAGGATAACAAAAAGCTGTAGAATTAGCACAAAAAAGTACTTCACAGACTAATTTTTGAATGGTGAGCGGAAATGCACAAAATAATCAATTTTCTTCCACATTTTTGTCTGTTTTTGTCTGTTTTTCAGTATGTTTGACGGTTAGTATCAAAACAAGTTTTTCAATAATCGCTAGGCCAACATTTCATCGATCAAATGACACCAAACTTATCATTCTGTGACAATTACGTACTCAGTTATTACAATTTTAATACATGCACTACCGTAATCGTAACGTGAAAATAAAAATGGCCTCCATTTCAAGGGAGATGAGGTAGGACATTGTAGGGGGGTGGATTTGTCGATAAAAATAGCTGAAAAATACCCCTCTTAAATATCTGTATATCGTGACCAAACACATTGTATAATACTATAGCCCTTTGATGTCAGGAATTTTTCTAGTGAGATATATGTTTACTGAAAAATATACTAAAGTGTTTCCCTTGCTACAAAAATAAAATTCTACGCACTTCCCTAAGAAACTCACATGCATGAAATTTTCAGGTTCTTTAAGAGGTAAACAATGTTTTTGGACTAATTCATAATACCCACCAATTATACAGTTCTAACAAGATCCACAAAGGTTATGTGGTTTTCACTCTACTAGATGAAAATATAAAACTATGTATCCTCTCATTAGGAGCACGAAAAAGCCAGTTGCCAGTTTTTTGAGCGAAAATGACATTCGTTTCGATATTTTTTATAGAGAGTCACTCCATGACTGTGAAAAAACGGACAAAAGCTCATGAAAATAAAACTAAAATTTTATGTTCGTCACTTGTCATTGAAACCATGAAAATTTGGCATTTCAAGATTTCATTGTTTTCACGTCATGGTGACCATATACAATTTCGAAAACATAATATTTATTAAAGTCCTCCTCCTCACTCTTTTCAAGGCCCAGGTAAGACCTAGCCTCGAATACTGCTCACATGTTTGTGGTGCTACCGCTCTAACCACATTATCCATACTCCATGCTGTTCATAGGAGGACTATTCGACTGAGTATAACTCTTTTCTAACAGACAGTCTCGGGGCCCTTTCGCACAGACGAGCTGTCGGCGATGTGGCTCTCTCCTACCGCTTTGAACATCTGATCTGTCCTCCATGATGTCTCCGTATGATGTGTCTGCTAGATAGACCCCGCCTAACTTCGGCCTTCTATCCTAACCGTCTCGAACTTTGTACATCCAGAACTGGCCAGTACTCATTGGTATCAAGATTGTGAAATTAGCCTGAGGAGGCTTCTCCCAGTTCTACTAAACTCAGGCAGTTCAAAAATCTGATTGACAAAGTATCTCCAGGCTCCTTACAGCATCCGCGGTGCCCCGTCTTCTGCCTACGCGACTGCTTCAGTACCAAAAAAGTCGGAGGTACCACCAACAAGATCGTTTGTCACCCTCACCCCCCTTCAGAGTCCTATGAACCACACGAACTTAAGTACTACATAGGCTACTGGTTGTAACAGAAGCATAGTTGACTAGAGCTAGGAATCTACTAATAACAATATAGCTCATAAGAATGATGTCAGTGACTACTAAGAAAAATTCCATTATTATTTCAACACTACCTGATTAATGATATATCTGAGACAACTATTGTTGAAAGATGACAATCTGAAAATCACTCCAGATACACGAAATGTGTGCTTTCTGAGAAAGACTCAAAACAGTGGATGACTTGCACTACACGAAGCATGATTTGCGCTGAGAATCAATTATTATGCTGTTAAGGTGATAAAATATTTTCATTTTTTTTTTTTGTTACAATACGAATACAATGAGTTAAAGTTTTTCCTATGCTATTGGTAAGTGACAACTGACAAGGCTACTTCACCTGGACTATGTGCAAGCACAAAATAACAATTCAGGTTAAATCTAAACTTTCCTAAATGTTCTTTTGTTTTTCCGGTAGGTTTTTAAGACTCATTCACCTTGCAAGAATTATTGTAATGGGAACAATTGGCTAATGTCGTAACTTCTCCTCTACCAGTGAGCATTGAAAATCGAGAGTAAACTTTTGATATTTATCTTATTTGGTCAAGGCTTTTGGCGATATTCAGTAATATAACAGCTGTTAACTAATATTCGCAACGTTATTGAAGAACTGACCGCTGAACAAAAGTTGACTGTACGATTTATGCATTTGAATGGATGTACAATAGAATGATAAGAGAGTGACAGGCAGATTATTTGGCAGGAACACACTGAAGTATCCTGAGTCATCGAGCAGATTAAGTATTTTTTAAACTTCACATGAACTGAAAAGGCAACCTTACTACTATTCGTCATTGTTCGTCAGAGCGGTCCGGTGGACCTTTGCTTTTAGTTAAAAGTCGGTCTGTTAGTCTGTTACTCGAATAATTTTGTAACAACAAAAATAATTTTGATTGGTTTTGTATACTGAAATAATTTTGGTTGGTGTAAAATTCACAATTTAATTTTGATCACAATGCGAGGCGCGGTCTGGAATGTTTTCGCACTTGCACGACTGTGTAGTCTACTGAATCACGCAACAGAGCGTTGCTGTGAGATTTCGATTGATTATAACGGCGCTGTGTCTGTTGCGTTACGTAGTCCCTTAGATATGGGATGTCAAGATCCCTGTGAATGATCTCATCTGACACGTACCAAGGAGCGTTGGTAATTGTGCGTAGGGTTCTATTTTGCAGGACTTTCAGTCTCTGCATGTGCATTTTGGCAAGAAAGCACCAGTCGCACATGCATAGGTGGTTGCGGGTTTTACGACCATTTTATACAATCGAATCTTGTTGATCAAAGTTAATTTTAAATTTTTGAAGGATAATGCCGCCGAAACGTAATTGGAAATTTCGTTTTCAAAATATCAGTATGTTTCTGCCAGGTCCATGACAATGATGACTCCAAAGTACCTGACAGATTGTTCCCATGGTAAAGGCAAACCCAATCCTTTAACTGAAAATAGGTGTGTATTTCTGCCATTGGCGTATGTAAGGGGGCGTTACAAAATCCTGATCACGTTCTAGGCAAATATGCAAAAATTTTTATATGAGCTATTACTTCGTCATGACAGCTCTAACTTACTGTAGCTGAGGCTTTCGTAAGAGGGGAGCCCAAACATAATGTGCAAGCGCCTGATCTGTGGGTTATTTACTTATCCCAAAATTTAGAAAACAGAAGGTAATTTGCATGTTTCATCTTTGTAAATTGGGTTGCTTTGGAACTGAAGGGTACGTACATTCGCTTTTTATAATTTAACGGTGACAAAGTATTTGTTAGGGCTTAAAGTATAGGGTTCTACGTCCAAAACATTAACTAACAGCCTGGACACTATATCAAAAAGGAACCTGTATGACAAATTTTGTACCTGAAACATTTTATTTTGCCTCTTAAGAGCAGAATAAGTCTTTGGAGATTTTCTTTGGGCGGTACACGTTTATCTTTTAGCAACCACCCTCCAATATTTTTTGAATCACGTCAAAAATACACTAATTTCTTTCCCGCTGCAAGGACAAAATGTTATGTACTTTCTTTGGAAAAGCAGATTATGCTGTTTCATTTAAGGGGTAAACAATGTTTTTAAGACCCACCGATTCGAGAGGTCTAGAAGGATCCATAAAGGTTGTATTGTTTTCACTCTACAAGTTGAAGATGTACGAGTATAAACTACGTAAATTCCCTCACTAGCGTGTAAAAGCTAGTTGCTGGTTTGTAGGGCAAAAGGACATTCCTTTCAATATGTGGCCCGCCACTCTGAAAGCTTGAACAAGAGCTTCTGAAAATAGAACTAACAATAAATGTTATATTCATCTCCCAAAAAACAACGTTGAATTGGCAATTAAGTGCTAAAATATTTTTTATTTTTTATGTTATGTTGCTCATTTACGATTTCGAAAACATCACAATCGCGAAATGCGGACATACCAACCCAATGTTTTTTTTTTGTCCTACACCTCTACCCTATTCTTGGTATGATATGATATCCATTACATCCAATACTCACTTAAAACAAAATTAATTACAGCGCTCTTAACCTTAGTTATGTACTGAAAGCTGGATCGATTAACCAAAACAAAAGCCGAAAGGACAATGCGTCATTCATTCCCATCCTTTTGATATTCCATTTTCTACAGCTGAACAAGGCTCATTTCCTCCTTTCAACGAACTAAAGCGATTAAGTCGAGCGTGGAATGATTTTCCCTTGGAGTAACTTCTGAGTCAAAAGGAGATGTGAAAAGAGGTACATGGGCGCAGTATTAAATATTTAGCCTTTATGTTTTCTTAAAAGAACCTACTATAATGTAATCAAATCCTGTTTAACCCCCCGTCAAAACAAGCATCAGCGTTCGATTGTCGCTTCTATTCGTTTGTCGCTGCAACGCCCAGGCATTTATGGCCCGCTGGTTAATAAGAGCGAAATTGAAGGTCGCGCGCTGGTGTATTGTTTGGCGGGCCGTAAGTGGTCTTTGAATACATTATAGTAAGCTATTCTATGCTTTTAAGTCCTTGGCTGCCAAGTTCTTATATCTGTAGAGAGAGGAGGAGGGCAGTCTTGGCTGTCTAGTTAAGATACAAGTACAAGGGTCTTCAGATTGCAGCTAAAACGCAAATAATTCAGGCCAGAAAGAAAGTTTGTTCTTTGTTCATGTCAAGCTTTCGAAATATGTTTATTTTCTTAATTACAACGCACTACCCACCATGTCGTAATGCTGCTAGCATAACTGCACTGGAATTTGTAGCGAACGACTGACGGGTTTTAGTGAGTGTACCGCTTATTCTGGAGAATCTCACACTTCGGGCAAGAAAGGCCGACCGGGCAATACGGTCCAGCTTTTCTGCCTGAGAGTGGCTATAAAAGCTTTCCCCTGTCCAAAAAGTCAAAAATCACAGGTACACTTATGACTTAACTCGTTCACATCTCGGTGCATCGAGTTATGACTGGTAGCCATTATGGGGCGCTATTTCATGTTGAAATTTTCATGGAATAAAAAAATGCATTTCGTAATTCCTCATTTTCCGAGCTGTTTTTATGTGTTATAAGCTTCAATTTTGGAATTTAGCTCGGTAACTGCTGGATTTTATAAAAAATATACGGTTTCATGAAATATGATTTTGTTTTGATAAAAAAATGGCACTGCTGATAAACAAGTTACCTTCCGGAATCAGTAATATTCATCTGATTAATTGCCGAAAACAGTCCAGAATAAAGCGAGACACCTTGGAACTACGTTTACGGTGAGATAGTAAGTGCTCTTGAGCCAGAGGTGGATCCAGGTGATGTCCTGAGGCCTCCGAAATATCCGGGTAAAAAAGTCCGAACGTGTTTTCAATTTCAATTTGCAGATGCCCCCCGCTCTTCAATTTTTAATCGCCGATACCCTCTCCTACCCCACGTCAGACATCTTCCCGAACATAAATCCTGAGTTCCTCCTTAGCAGCAGTTTTTTCTGCGGGTAATTTCAAATTTATCATATTTATACACCCTCCAAAAATATTTTCTAGATCCACCCCTGACTTAAGTAAATGCTTATTAAAAGAATGAATGCTGAATAGGGTATATTTGCTTTCCATCTCTGTGACCATAACCAACAGTAAGCAATGTTGTATCATATTTTTTGGGAATCATCAGTACGATATAGGTCTAGTCATTGAAGACAGACAACGAAAAGCAAACAAGCGAAAATCAGTTTACAGAAAAACTCAGTATTGCAGTGAAGTGTAGTAGAAGATTTGATAAGGAATTGCCTTTGAAAAATTCAATATGTTATACGTTAACTGTTCACATTTCCATGATAAAAGTTTTTGAGTACGAAGGGTCAACTTGAAGTCCCTATACCTCTTAAACAACTCGTGTATATATCAGTTCTGAGCCCATTATTTTTTTTACTTCCCACGCCTACTGGCGAGAAAGTAATGTAATCACAAAAAATTCAAGAATGAGATATGATATTTGGACTCTAAAAGACATGTACACTACAAAAAACCATGTCACTCATTTCCGACCGTCTATCTGTCTGTCGGTCGGTCGATTTGTCTGTCCGCTTATCCTTGGCCCGTCTATAGCTTGGGAAGTACCCTTCGGATTTGGATGAAATTTTCACACAATGTTACTACTGTCCCAAAGACCAAAAAGCCTAACAGTTTTTGAAAATCGATTCAGTGGCGAAAGAGCTACGGGGCAAAAAACGAAAGAAAAAAGTAGAAATCGCTCAAACTTGTTTTTTGACGTTTCAGAGAGGGGTCAGTGGTTGTAGGTAGTGGGGGCGGGTGTATCGCAATTTAGCGTCTGACGCATCGAGTAGAGAATGTCTATGGACCAATTGTAAGAGCCTGTTTGACTGACGTGAAATGTTTAATTTATCTGTAATACATGTTCGCAATTAACTTTTTTCTGAGAGGGTCTTTCTTGTGCTGAACATAATCATTTATGACCTGATCACGGCGTTACGTGGGAAGTGCAGGGACAACCTACTTGACTCCATTTTTATACTTACAACAACTTTTTGAGTTGACAGCGTCCGTAAGATGTATCTCGTATTTTCTTTTGAACGCATAATAAAATTGAAAAATTTTCCCAACTAGGGTATGATTATAATCATCTAATTTTCTATTCCTGTAGGCCTATACAGTGCTAAAAACCTCCAAGAATTTGATGCTTGCAAAAAATTCCAATCTATAGTATACGATATAATCATTATCCAAGAGCTATAGGCGGAATTCTTTATACTCATCTGATTTCGCTTGATCCGTGACTTCAAAAAGTTCATCGAGTTGAAGTTTCCCTGGCACATGACGAACAGAACGGAAAGCATATTATATTAACGTCATTATTTTATAGCACGGATCCGAGAGTCTGACTGGTAGCATCGACGAGTTGGTATTGATTTTGAGAAACAAAATACTCATGTAATGGCAAAATAATAATAATAATTTGTTATTACATTTAATGTGGCATTCACTTATTGCAGCAACGTGAACGCTAACATGGTATGATATGCTATCATTCAGTGCCAACGTTTTCCAGCCTCGGACAATGCATGCATGCAGTGCGACATAACATTTGTTGAAATATGAAAAACTATTATTGTGTGGAACTTTGAAATAAATATTTTTCTATGGTAAATAGAGAAAAAAAATCATGTATTCCTATGGTAAATATTACTATAATGTATTATACTTTTTTCTAACCCGTCGTGCAAACAAGTTAGAGAGAAGATGCGGCCGCAGCGACAAGTGTCTGGCTGTGCTTAATATTACATTGTAATAATGTTTTACAATGAGTATATAAAATTATCCTTTAGAATTTGTAAAGCTAGTCTTTTACTAAACCACTATCCAACTTAGCAGGTACGCAGACTTTGAAAATATGTAATGGTTGGCAGTTCTAGGATCTAACTCTACCACCAAGATATCTAATATACTATTTTTTTCAACAGATCGCAAGTCCAGCATGTACAGAATTGGAAGTGGTGATGATGGACTGGCTTGGCCAGATGTTGGGCCTTCCGGACGAGTTCTTGGCAAAATCTGGAGGCCGAGGAGGCGGTGTGATACAAGGCACAGCTAGTGAAGCCACGTTGGTAGCACTGCTTGGAGCCAAGGCGAAAGCTTTGGCCAGGGTTAAGAAGGAGAAGCCCCATATGTCGGATGCTGAGATTGTTGGAAACTTGGTTGCATATGCTTCAGGTAGGGAAGTTAATGCTATTGAATTTGCTTGTGCGACTCGCTTTCTTGAAAAAAGTTTTCATGAAACCAAAGCAATCCTATGTTTCTGAGAAATAGGAGAATAAAGTTTGCAAGATTTGCAAAAATGGAGAATGTGCCGATTGTAGCACACAGACCAAAAACTCGGAGAATCCGTTTATTGAAAGAAGTATTTCACCTTGTATGAAGGGAGACGACATGTTACTGCTGACCCTGATCCTTACAGGGTAAGTTTAAGGGAAAGTTCTGGCACCAGTTGTTCGGGAATTCAGATACCTCAATAGAATAGTTCGCTTCTCACAGGGCACAGAAACATCGTGGGTGTATCCTTGTCTCAGATAGCCACCCGCAGGGATATTACGTACCAATCTTGAAAAGTAACATTATGTCGGTTTTTTTGACATTATATAGGTTTTTGTGACATTATGTAGATTTTCCTGTCAGAAAGGACAACACATAAATAACCCGTCTGACACATCTAATAGATGTACTCCATGGGCAGCATATTCAGTAATAATTTTCTAACATAGGAAATATCACTGATTTTATACACATGCAGATCAATACACACAATCATTCAAACGCGATCTTGCTACTCAACCAATTTTCTTTCTTTGGCATACACCATAGACTATTTCGGGATTCTGCAACCAACAAAGCGCGCTGGCATGTCGTTGAGAGTGTTTCACAAGTCATTCCTCCATAGGTGATGCTATGGGTGATGCTCACAGCAAGTTGATATTTTGTCAGCTTTTTTGACATCATATAGGTTTTTTACGTAATATCCCTGCCGGTGAAAAAGGTGAATCGGTTGTGAAAAATACTCACAATATAACCCCAGAGCAGTCAACACGACCTGTCAGCTCGCGGATCTGCCAATCGATCGCGCGTTCGACAAAAGAAACGATACTTACCTGTTATCATAGACATTTAGTATATGCACCGACATACAAACGTTTACCTGTTTCATATCATCATAGTTGTATCCAGTCCAGGATCGATAAACGTTTTTCAAGAGATTTGAGTGTTAGTTGCATTTGCATTTTTTATGAGTCCACCTACTAAGGATCATGGACAATATCCACATGACACCTCCCAACACGTTCCTACAATATAATATTTCTTTCAGAATAACAATTTTCCGAGTATTTGGTCTGAGAACCAAAATCGGCATTTTTTTCAAGTCACGTAAACTTCATCTACCTATTTCTCAAAAGCTGATCATAAGAGTGCCATGATACAATGAGACCTTTAGTTCAGGAAGGTGAGAAATATATCATAATCAATTTCTGGACATATCAACTGAGACCCATTTTCCATATGTTTTGTGCGAGGTCCTTTATTATTATTTATGGGCTAAGCTCCCTTCAATGTCCTACACTCGAAAAGTGGCGCCCAATTGGCACCATTGAAGGAACCTCGCTGCAGATGATTACAAATCCCACAGGGCGAATTTCAGGGTTTTTGCTCATTTTGTCTAATCGTAAAGTACTGATGAGATACATTGTTAGATTATAAATGCTACATACGTTTCCAGCACAAAGTCATTCATCTGTGGAACGAGCAGGACTATTGGGTGGAGTAAGAATGAGAGCACTAGAATCTGACGAGAACAACAAACTTCGTGGTGAAACCTTAGAGAAAGCAATTAAAGAAGATTTGGAGGCTGGATTGATTCCTTTTTTTGTAAGTAACCATTTGACGTATATAACCCATGGCACTTTGAGACATCATGTTATATGAAATGCACGTTACTATCTCACAATACCTGAAGGGTTAATATTTCCACTAATTTAAGAATATTGGATTAAAATATCGTTATTTTAGTTTCTTCGTATCACCTTGACCATACTATTTAGTGGTGTAAAATATATCTATCGTGGTTTACTTTTACACTAGAACACCTTGAACCAAAAGTGTAAACAGATATTTTTTCTCAACTATGTTTGTGTAAATTCTTTGCGCATTGTACAAATATAACAGTATGGATACTTGGTCATTTACCCTTGGTATTTCTTTCGTTATTTATGAATCAAAACACACGTTTAAATCCGTATAAGCATTACTGTCTGAGATAGTCTGCTCTTTATCACAGTTTCTAGAACACATAATTGAATGACTTATATTGGCCAGAAATAACAAAGAGAGTTGATTGTATGGTGTGCATATAGTTCTTTTCACAGTCTTTGGCAGTTAGGTACGTCACAAAGCCCTATGAAATGAGTTAGCGAGTCAACTAACAGTACCATTGAAGTGAGACATCACGAAGTGCCATCTATCACCACAATCGAACACTGCGGAAGTAAAAACAGCAAGCTGTCTGTTGGAAATGTATCTGAGTTAGCATTGTCAGCCAGGTCACTAATGTGGCCGCTAGATGCCGTCGATTCTGGTACTATAGTAGATACGGTCGACTCAATAGTAGCACATAGAGGTGGATTGCATATGTATGTGTACGAAAGATGGATGTATGAATGTGTCAAAATTTTATGAAAATCCGAGCTGCTGCTAGTGCTTTCCGAATAAAAGCAGAGGGAGCAAAGATTACCGGACAAACAGAAGAAATCATATAGAAACATGTGACTTAGGCCCGTATCGTCAGTCGTCCCTACAATTGTAGGGCGCCTTTATGGCCTCCTTGATGGTCATAGTTTTCTACTTCTCCGTGTCAGAACTCTATTTTGAGGTTATGTCACAAACATCTATTTGCATCAACTTTTGCTTGGTTTTGAGTTATATCATGTTTTATCAGCCTGAAATTTCCTACAATTTAAAAAGAAAACATATCTTCACAATAGGAGAGCGCTGACGCTGACAAGAGACGCCACCAATTTTGCTCGGGAGGGGGATGATCATCGGCAACAGACAACTTTTTGTAAACGTATACCTAACCCTGGAACAATTTACAAAGCAAAAGTGTATCTGCCAGGGCATCTGCCTCCAAATTTTTATGGAGAACAATAGGTAGCAACGATTCCCCTAAACATCCCTAAATGTAAATTTTAAGGTCCAACCAGATTATCAGGGAGGTCATGGCACCCACTAGCACTCCTCTGCGGCAGCCCATTATAGCTGCCTCCATAATCTGGAAATGTATCTAAAAAATTCAAACTTTTTTTTCCACGCTTGACGATTTTCAAGTTTCTGGTCACCTTTTCGCGTAGTGAAAACAATTTTAGGATAAAAACCAGTCGTATCTAATATTTAACTTGCTAATAAGTGATTCATATAATTTGTACTGAGTCAACAGGCCGTACTCTGTTTTTTAAAATTCAAAAATGATCATATTTTTCAGGCTGTGAATACCTTAGGGACAACTTCATCATGTGCATTCGATCGACTTGATGAACTGGGACCAGTTTGTAACGAGTACAATTTGTGGCTTCATATTGATGCTGCTTATGCTGGATCTGCCTTTGTTTGTCCCGAATACAGGTAAGAAATAGTATATTACATACCTAGATTGAGAAGGAAGCTATTATAAACCGGATTAAAACGATTGGAAGGGAAATACATACATGTATATTCACCGGATTCAGAGCCGAAACTAGAGGGGCGCTGGTGGAGGCGGGGGTCTCTCTAGAAGTGCAAACCTACCAGTTTTTTCAAGAAAATAGTATGAAAATTACCGTGCTAAACCTGAATCGAGAGGCGTATAACCCGCTAACAGGCAGTTCAATTATTCAACCCTGTATTAAACCATAGTCATTCCTGAATCCAACCCACTGCTCTCCAAAACTCTGGTGTCAGTGTTAGCTGCATAACGCGACGTTGTCGAAATAGTGATAAGGACATAGACAATATAGACCCTGATCCTTGTAACAGGAATTTTCTTTTGCAGATATCTGATGGCAGGCATCGAGAAAGCAGATTCGTTCAACTTCAACCCCCACAAATGGTTGCTGGTGAACTTTGACTGTTCAGCAATGTGGCTGAAGGACCCGTCATGGCTGGTCAACGCGTTCAATGTGGATCCGCTCTATTTGAAACACGAGCAACAAGGCTCTGCCCCTGACTACCGACACTGGCAAATTCCCCTCGGCAGGAGATTCAGAGCTCTGAAGTTGTGGTTCGTCCTGAGATTGTACGGGGTTGAGAACCTCCAGGCTCATATCAGGAAGCAGATTGGGCTTGCTCACTATTACGAGTCCTTAGTCAGGTAAGTACGAGGGCCACTTTTAAAGTGAGAACCGATTGCGCATCGTGCCTACGCGTTCCGGCACGTGACGTCCACGCAACCTCAGTCCAGGCCAGTCTCTCACTACGCCGCCATTACGTTTCACTTCTCTATCGATGTTGGTTGTTTAGTTATGCTTCTTTGTCGCCATTTCTAGCAGCAAACCCGCCGATTATGAAATGAACTCAGTAATTCGGAACAGTCTCTGCGATTATGCAAGGCGCTTTGCGCGCTGTGGAATCATGGTGTAGGGAAATGGATCTTTCGGTCAACGCTGGAAAGACCGAGCTGATCCTATTCACTAGGAGAAGAAGGCTTGACGGGCTTGTCTTCACGACCTTCTTTGGGACTAGATTAGTTCTATCCCAGTCAGTAAAATATCTAGGAATTATCCTGGACTGTAAACTGAACTGGAGAGAGCACGTTGAATTTAAGGTTAACAAGGCCCGCAATTCATTGTGGGCTTGTAGACGCGTTGTTGGTGCTAGGTGGGATCTCAAACACAACGTGGTTTACTGGCTCTACACGACAATAGTGCGTCCATCTCTCTTGTACGACTCCTTGGTTTGGTTGCCTTGTATTGGAACTGAGACGAGTAAGGCCAAATTCAATAAAATTCAGCGATTGGCCTATATTAGCATTACAAGCGCAGTAGGACAACGCTGCTCCGCTGGATCTCCCGCGGTTGGATCTAGTGATCCGCGGAGAGGCGAGAGTAGTCGCACATCGTCTGTGGAGTCAGTGCCGCTGGGCCTTCTTGAATCCCGTCAAGGGTCATACTGCCATCCTGGTCGTACTGCAAAGGGAGGATCCTGTCCTTCTGAGCAGGGACGATGTAGTTACCCCTAAGTATCGCTTCAACCGCATGTTTAATGTGGAGTATCCGACGAGGGAGGAGTGAGACACCGGCTACCGGAGTCTCACTGGAGTAAGTGGGCAAGTCTGGTATACAGACGGCTCGGTCACCGAAAAGGGCTCTGGCGCCGGGGTCTCGAGGCCTAGGACTAGGCTATCTCTGCCTCTTGGTGGATACTCCACGATTTTCCAAGCGGAAATCGTTGCGATTCTGGCTTGTGTATCCCTCATTTTGGAGAGGGGTGGGCGTAGGATAAAAATAATAATCTTCTCCGACAGCCAGGCTGTATCGTTAATGTGCGTACCGGGGCATGCTGGGATAAAGGGCAATGAGACGGCGAACGCTCTGGCGAAGACAGGATCAGCCAACAAGCTCGTTGGTCCTAAGCCAGCTTTAGGGATGCCCGCGCGGAGAGTTAGGAGGAAAACGGAGAAGTGGATTGCAAGGCAACACTCTCAGAAATGGAGAAGCATCTCCAGACATCTACGTCACGCACGGGATCTCATTGCAGGGCCCAACGCTAAGGACAGGCGTTTCTTCTGCTATCTTTGGACAGAGCCAACCTAAGGTTGCTGGTGGGACTGTTGTCTGGCCATAACACATTAAGGCATCACCTGCACGTGATGGGGGTGGCTGAGGATCCCTTGTGTGAGTGATGCGAGGCTCTACAGGTAGACTATACTGCGGTCCATCACTTTGGACTCAAGGACATTAAGGAGTTTGGGCTCAAGGCCATACTCAGCTTCGCTAGAATGGCGAGGCTTAAGGTCTAACAAATGTGGAGGTGCACAAGGGCCCGTCTGAGTGGCCTATGCGCTGGCTCCTTATGGTGGCCGGTATACCTCTAATTTCGTGTTTTCATTCATTCATTCATTCAATTCGATTTTCAGATGCAACAAAAATTCACCAGTAGCTTGTTGAATTAGGTACGATATTCGAAACCGCCGGCAGAGCCTGCTCGGCTTCACGTTGCGGCAAAGTCTCGGATGCCACTCGACAAATTTCGTTGCGAATTACCGGATCATCCACCATACAGCCCTAACAGCACTATCAGACATTCATCGTTACCGAAACTTAAGGAATTCCTCATTGGAAACCGCTTAGAAAAAGATGACGTGTTGAAAGAAACAGTTACTAACTGATTTAACGGTCATCAGTAGGCGACAGCGTTTGTCGACGGAATCCAAAAGCTGGCCTTGACGAATGTTCAAGTGTTTATGATGACTTATGAAAAATGTTCATATTTTAGTTTGTGATACAATTTACATTCATTAATCTCTGACTACATTACAACACACGGTTCTTACTAAAAAAATGATCCTCTTAACAGCATTGACTAACGCATTCTACCTGAAGATAGCCAACCAAATATTGTTTTCAGCCATCCAAAAAGGGATCTGACAGATATTAGCGTCATCTATGGGACATTGGCAGAACATAAAAACAAATTTAGAAGTCTGCTTTGAGAAGAGTTGGGATGTTTGGTTCTGCTACTGTCCACTAGATGGCGCTGGATCTTCAATATTTGGCACCTCTCTAATGCTTATTTTAATTTGGTATCTTCAGGTATGCAATGTACTAGTGAGATCGGATTTTTCATTTCGGACAATTTATATGTGTGTTCTGTTTTATTGTCAATTGCAGGACAGACGACAGATTCGAGATCACCGAAGAAGTCCTGATGGGCTTGGTATGCTTCAGACTAAAAGGAACCAACGAACTAAACGAGGCTTACATCAAAAGAATCAATGGAAGAGGACTAATACACTTAGTACCGTCCAAGATTAGAGACACCTTCTTCCTTAGATTGGCTATTTGCTCCAGATTCACTGAGAAAGCTGATATTGATGTATCTTGGAAGGAGATCAAGGATACTGCTGACGAAATATTGAACAACAATCACTGCAACAACCATAATCATGTTAACCACAAATAAGGGAGGTTACCTATTATGAGCTAAGGATATTGTATTATAATGGATTATTTATTCAAGTTTAGCTAAAAAGATCACTGCGTGTTGTTATAGATATGACAATAAAATACAGTAAGTTATGAGATAAGGATATAAGGATTCTATAGAATATTAAATATACAGGGTGTAAACGTTATGATAGTCATTATTTAAATGGGTGATAGAGGGGGTTAAAAGAAGCAAAAAGTTTCATATAACATGGGGGTCAAAACGGCGTTTTTTTTTAGAGAAAAACGACTTTAAAGTAATATAAAATCTGACGCCGTAATGCCAGACGCAAATTACGACGGAACGCAGTATAAATAAAGATGGAGTTTGTTATTTTGGCTCTTAGCTATTATTTCATTATTTGATAATGTACTCGTAAAATGCAAACAATTAAAAAAAACGGACTTACCACTAACTGTCTCGGCGCTTCACATGGTGTGTGAAAGTTTATTGAACGTATTAAAAAATCCACTTATAAATAGGGAACACAATTTTGATACATACATTGTTTTTATTTTTAAAACCTACACTACACTTTTTTGTATTTAAAGAAGGTGTTCAAAATGTCGTCCTCCACTTTCCACACAAGCTTCATTACGATGAAGCCAGTTTGTTCTTACTCTAGGTCCTCGAAGTTGTCCATTTATTATTTCAGCCGCATTAAAATGTTTTTCGCGAAGTTGTGCTTCAGTTGTTATTGGACCAGCCCCATAAACCATCCCTTTAAGTTCTTTTTTTTTTTTATACTCCAGCTTCCACGAAGGCCTAAGGCCTAAGCACCCATTGGGTACCGTGGGGCTATGGGGGATACATGGGAAAGGGGGGACGCCACACGGACTCTGGGGAGGGAACACGTGTGCATGCAACATGCACACATTCTGGCTCCGCCTACGAGAACCGCCGGGTGGTACCTCCGCGTTCGACAGTCAGAGACCATCTACCACCTACGGACAATCACAACATCCATGGCCAAGAGAAACATTTCTCCTGGGACGGGACTCGAACCCGCACAGCGCACGGCGGCTGATCAGGAGACCGAAGAGTCTACTACTGCGGCCACCGCTGCTGCCTAAAACAAACACACAACATCCATGGCGAAGGCGAGATTCGAACTCGCGGCCCGGCCGGCCGGCTGATCAGTAGCACGACACTCTGACCCACGCGGCCAACCGAGGTCCCCAATACCAGAAATCCATCGGATTAAGAAAGGAGATCTTGCTGGCCTATTTTTGGAGCTGGAGCATTTCGACCGATCTAGCGATTTGGATAATATTCATTCAAATACTGAATGACGCCTCTAAAAGTGTGTGGTGGTGCCCCGTCATGAAAGAAACCAACCAAATTCTATCTCCGTTGTAATGGCATGTTGTCTAAGGTCTGTTCCAAGAGTTCTGGTAGATTATTGGCTAGAAAGCTAAGGTATCCTTCTCCTGACAACTTTGGGGGTAACTCGAAAGGGCCAATCACACTGATCGTCAGAATACCCACCTAAATATTTATTTTAAAACGTTGTTGGAAATGACCTTCACGAATGATATGAGGATTTTCTTGGGCCCACGTGTGGGTATTATGGAAATTTAATATCCCGTCTTGCGTAAAAGTACATTCGTCCGTCGCTAGAATGTTTTAAAAAAACGGATTTTCAATGTTTTTGTGCAGAAACCACTGGCAGAATGTTAGTCTGCGAGGATAGTCTTCTGGTAACAAGGCCTGCACTCGTTGTACATGGCAGGGATATAGCAAAATTTTCCCGCAGGATTCTATGGACTATGGTATGCGATAGTCCTACGCGGCGGCCTAATTCCCGAGTGCTGATATCTGCATTGATTTCCACGATATTTAAAATTTATTCCTCCTGCTCTACAGTAACCTGTCTTTCAGGAGTACGAATATTAGTGAGCTGAACACTTCCTGTATCTTGAAGTCTTTGGTACACTTGAACAAATGTCCTTCTGTCTGGGTGTACCCGTTGGCGAAATCTGTCGCGATACATTTGAGCTGCAAGATTTGAATTCTGACGAGCTTCACCGTAGACTAACAACATGTCGGCGAGTGCTTGATTCGAGAACATTTTAAATAAACACGACGACGTACGCGAACAATAACTAACCACTGTTACCGTTTGCGAAAAACTTAATGCCATTTATTTGTTAATTACCCAATTTAAAAAATGTTTTAGATTAGATTATAAAAATTAGTAAGATTGTGGTGATTGTGGTCGATATAAGTTGTAAACTATAAAGCCATTTAGTCAAAAATCTTTCGACTTTTGGACCATGGGTCATATGAACTTTTTGACTTGTTTTAACCCCTCCTATTACCCATTTCAATAATGACTACCATAACGTTTACACTCTGTATAGCTTGTAAATTAGAGGTAATCAACGAGAGTTATCCAATACTTTTTAATCATAAAAGGTATTGTCTGAGTTACCTCTTACAGCTAAAGTTAAGTACTACTTGCTTCCCATCAAACAATACAAAATTTCTCTACGCTCTATGCTTTTAAAATTAAATAAATTTTCATGGATATTATAAAGCAATCGTTAGAAGGATGATTTAGTGTAATATGATGTATGTTTTGACTTTATTATTTAATCTCAGGTGTTTAAAAGTTACTCCAAACAAACGATTGATATGTGCTATGGAAAATACTTAAAATGTAAATATATAGAATATTATTGAGGAATGGACCAATATTGATAACGCAATACAATGAAATGTACTCCATAAAAGATAAATATATTCTGTATGAAGTATATTCCTATTTGTTTTTATCCCCTCTGTCTTTCCTTCATTAAAACCGTCGCCGGCCTCATGTAGCCAAGCGCTTAGATAGCCACAAAGCATCATAGTTCTGTGTATAAACGTTGTTCTGTGTCGGTTTACACCGTACGCCACAAAATATACTCAGTGACATTAGAAGTGTTACATCCAGAAAAAATGATTTCTTCAACTTGATTTTTTGGCAAAGAGGTAGTCTTAGATCAAGAATGACACGATAACATTCTCACGAAATTTCATTGACAATAAGAAAAGAGATTAATAATGTGTTGAGCGACCCCGCAGCTGAATACGACGAGCAATATAGGGATGTGCATTGTCTTGTTGAAAAAGAACGTGTGAACGACCTTCTAGATACGGCAGTAATGTGGCTTGTGGGACATCAACGTAACGCACAGCGGTCACATTGCCTTGAACGAAGAGCAGGGGTGATCGGTTACTATAGGCAATAGCCCCCCCAAACCGTTACTCAACAGTCCTGTGTACATGCTTCTCAACAGCTAATCCAATATCACGCCGTTCTCCATGGCGGCGTCTTACCCTTCCACGACCATCGCGCGTAGCCAGGCAGAATCGCGATTCGCCGGTGAAGATGACACTATGCCATTCTGCCTCCCAGTTCAAACGTTGACGACAGTGGTCCGCAGTCAGAGGAAGCACTGACTGTGGACAGTATGAAAAAATCCAAAGGCATGAATGCGGCGATAGAGTGTACGCATAGTAACAGGTCTACCTTCTTCTCCAAACCATTGGTCAGCGATCTGACGCGTAGTAGCAAAACGGTCTCGTAGGACTAGTTGTCTGGAGTACCTATCTTCACGCTCTGTGGTACGCCACGGTGGACCAGTTGGCCTTCTTCGTGTTCCTTTACCTTCTTCTATCCGCACACAACACACGCATTACCGTCATTGCAGTACACTCAACACGGCGGCCACTTTCGCAATAGGACAAATCAACATCTCGATAGGCAATGATTCTACATCTGTCGCTAGCATGGTGATAATTTGGACGCCTTCGATCTCAAGGCATTTTGTTATATTTAACACTAGTAAATGAAAGATAAAACGTTGACATTGTTGCCACAGCATGCTTTAAATATAGTCATTATGTTGTAAAAAATAAGGTGAAGGAATTATTTTTTCTGTGTGTAACACTTCCAATGTCACGGAGTATAATGTAACGTATATACCCGCACGTGTTTCACGTGTCTTAAAAATTTACATTACGCCGATTTTTGTTTACCTTATGCTGGTTTTTTTGAGATTATGTAGGTTTTTCTACAAGATATTAACTTAGCACTTAGTTGTAGGTGTTGCCTAAACGGCATGAGGCTTGTTATCAATCTTTGGCTCTGATGTGATATAAAGTCTGGTTTTGAGATGGCATTACTGGAGGTCTAAGCGGTAAGTTGTATGTGTTGATGATAATTACATTGGCTTCTTGTCTCAAATACACTTAATTGAGATTCAAAGCTAGAAATTAGTTGCGCATCCACTTTTTCTTATCCATTCTCGAAATTACATATTCAAATTTGCTGAATTTCAAAAATAAGAGAGATAAAACATAATTATATTCACTGTACACTGTGGAATTACAAGCCATATACATGCTAAGAGTAATTACACAGAACGCGGGCGCGGTGATCATTTCTCGTAATTCTCCTCAGTTTTTCGTAATTGGTAACTCCAGAAAGCACAACATAAAAATAACCTGTCGGGCACAGCCAACAGATATACTTCATTGGTAGCATATTCAGTAATGATTTCCTCACACAGCAAATATCACTGATTTAATACACATGCAGACCAATACACATAATCATCCAGATGGGATCTTGCTATTCAACCAACTTTCTTCTCAGAGATAAAAACTACAGACAAGGACCATTTGGCCTCACAAAACTATGCAACCAATAATGCATGTAGCCTAGTTGAGTGATTCCCCCATAGATGGACGTTCACAACGATCCTAGTGAGCAAACGTGGAATGACTGCTTGCGCCCTAAAAAACTACCTAGTCTGCAAGTTGACATCTTATAGGTTTTTTTGACGTTTTGTAGGTTTTTTACATGATACCCGTGCCGGACCGATGCGCCTTATGTAGGCTACCCTAGAGATAGGAAGTTAAACTGCCTAAAGGATACAAACATGTAATCGTATGCAGACAATCCTGTCGCCAAGGGTGGTGTGACTTTGTAAGTCGGGTGGGCGTAGAACATGGCACCATGCGCCTTGACAAATATCATCATAACCTGCTGCAATATTCATGTGCATTTCCCTCACGTTTTGCCATGTTTTGTAGGTTTATTATTTCGTGATTTATTAATATTATCCAATATTTCTGGAGTTGTTTACACTCATAATGACAACAACATGGAGAGATGCCACATTCTCAGAACTAAATTCAATTGCTGCACAGCGTACCAACTCACTTCATCGTCTACACATTTTGGCTTCACCGCCACTTCACAGGGCTAACCTCCTACCTATAGTCTTCATGAGGCTACCCTACGGTGTAAGCATGGGCATGGTGTAACATGACATTGCTGTTTCAGCGTTAAGCCGCGCCCCATTTCCGTCTCACAAACTAGTCAATAAGACAACGGCGAAAAAGGCAGACGATCAAAGTATTATGCTATCTCGCAGTTTACTTGCAAAACGAACGCAACATAATTCTCTTTATAGTCACGTGACAATTTCAGCGCCATGACCTGTCTTCTCGGCGGCTTCAGTCCAAGACCGACATTTGACAGTTGAACGTCAGGTCAGGTTATGTCAGTTCACGTTTTGTTTACATATGACAGTGACATAACGTTAAAAAATAAACCGAAGGCTATCCGGTGACTGCTTGAACTTTAAAATATGTGAAATTGATTATTTATAGACCTAGGTTGTTTATTGCAATTTGTGACAACACCAGCAGTCTAAATAACGCACGCGTAAGAATGGAAAAGGCTAAGGAGAAGGCTTCCAATGCCTTCCATAGTTTTTCAAGTGCAATGGAAAGAAATTCCAGAGGTGTAGAGGTATGTTTTTAATTATTCTTGACATGGTTTAAAATATAGAAAATTCATATTTTTTTAATTTCCAGATTGGTTGTTATTCTGTTGCACTTATTGGCCTTACAGTTGCATTAAGGAAGGTTAGACCAGTAAGTACAATATAGGTATCTAGGACTTTTAAGAGCATATTGGTATACCCTCATTCAAAGTAATTTATATTGGGAAATTAATATTCAAGTATTTTAGTTACAAAATACTAAAGAATATTCCATTCTTGAATCAAAGAGGGACTTTTTATACAAGGCATTTAATGAGAATCTATATTTCCATTATTACCTCCCATTCTAAAATTTTCTATTCTAGGCTTAAAATGCCACAAATTTGCAGTGTTGCAATTATTGTTGAATAGTTCAATATGACTGTGGACACCCATACATATACAGTACTAACTGCAGACCACAAGTATAGGTTAAGAAACACATCTCAAGTGCAATATAAAAACTGTACTTCAAGAGTACTTATATGTAGAGCTTTAGATTTTAATTTAAATTAACAACAGGTTATCCAAATTAGTGACTATATTCAGGGTTATATCATACAATTTTTAAACATATACATTCCATGTATAACACCCTATACCTAAGCATTTTTGAGAAATATCAAATTTTGTGTACAAAATCACAAATGCCATTCTATAGAAGTCTATAAGTTTTCATCTATTTTTGTCCTTGTAGAACAGTTTGTAACCAGTCTCTTATAGAAAGGCATCTACTTTAGTAGACTTCATTTGTAATTTTACTAATCAATAATACAGGGTGGTCAAAAAAACAGATGAAGAATATTTGAAAAAATGCTAATAATCAATTTTTTCAAATGACAACCCCCTGTTTTTATAATCCCATCATCTTAAGCAATAAAAATGACAGTTGTGTATAAGGTTATCTACTTTGCAAATTAGTAGTTTAGGAATCATTTGCAAATAGTCACTTTCTATCCCTCTATACAGTTCTTTTATTATTGGAGTTGTATGTTATTTTAAAAATTATGTAGATATTTATTCTTAGAAAGACTCCCCACAAATAATAAATAAAATGAATAATGTCCATGTTTGTTATTTGATTACTGCATCTGAGTCAATTTATAGAGGTGCAATTAGTAATGTATTCAGCACTGCAGCTATTATTATATCTAATATGTGGTTGAAAGTTAATTGTGTGATAGCTCTTTCGATAGAGCACCGACGTGGCAGTCAAGGTCGCGCCGACGATTGAGGTTTGAGACTACGAAATGGTACTGTATTTTTTATTTTTTTTCTGTTTCGCAACACATGCATCACATATGAAAAAATCATACCTCATGACTCATTTTTAATAATTCACCGCGCTTTGGCCAACCATACTGAACTGGCCATGGAAAGATGAAAAACGAGTATTTACAAATATTCGCTAAACTACTAATTCGCAAAGTAGATAACCTTATACAAAACTATTTTTATTGGCTTAAATGATGGGATTTTAAGAGCAGGTGTTTCCATTTGGCATTTTGTACAATTTAATTTTCATCCAATTTTTTTAGCCATCTTGTATTATTAATTATCAAACATTGAATGATGTCTACTGAAGTAGACACCCTTGTATAAGAAAACAAATCGTGCAACAAGACCAAAAATGTATGAAAACATGATTGGCATTTATGGAGCTGCATTTGTGAGTTAGGTATTGGAGGTTATTCCAGGTGTGTATCTAGAATCTTGCGAAGATTTTAAATATTGAGGAATAGACAAGGTGTTGCATGTAAAATCAGCAACTTGTTATATACTTTGGGTACAACCGAAAGTGCCACCATTTTGAAAATATTCTAGCCAAATTCCTGGTATCAGTTATATCATAAGATGTCTTGGTTTCATGGATGCTATACTGCTGTGGGCTTGTTGTGAAAATGACGCCTTTTCTTCTTTCACTACAGTTAAAAACTAT